TACAATTTTGAAAAAACATGAGAATTAATTAATTGAATGATTGCATGTCCATTTAAATCAAATGTGGGGAAACATTGTATTAAATAGCGTAATTCATTTAATGTCTTTTTCCAAGGATTGTAACTTTCGGAGCGTTGTCGTAATGGAATACCCAAATGTTTAAACGTGTTTGGATCTAATTTTTGTATTGGATATGGAAATATCTGATTAGCTGGAGGATCGTTATAATATACCACGTTAGTCTTCGTGTGATTAACATGAAGACCCGATTCTATTGAGAATTTTGCCAACAAGTCTTTGAAAGTTCTTTGATCTGTCTCATTATTACAATACACGAGCACATCATCTGCATATGCAGTATAGTTCAATTGTAAATGAGCAGATGCATTTAAACATGCACCTTGCATTTTGTTCGTAATCTGAATAAATAATGTTTCCAACACTAAATTAAATATCAAAGGACTAAGTGGATTACCTTGTCGAGTGCCTCTTTCCAAAGGGAAGCGACTCCCGACTAGATTGTTGATGATTATTTGACCTTGTTGTTTTGTAGTAATAGCAAGAAGGAAATTTCTTGCCCGTCGTCCAAAATCCATTTTTTCTAATAATAATTCAATAAAATCATGTGAAACTGAGTCGAATGCTTTCCTAAAATCAATATTAACGAAGCATGCAAAATCATCAAAATCAGAATTAGTTTTTTTTTTTTACATATACAATCTGTTTATTGAGTTCATATACATACTAACATACAGAAATATAACAAACAGAAAAACAATATACATTAAAGGCAAAAAGCATCATTGCCTAAAACCTTATTTCAGCAGCATCCTATAGATTAAGTGTGTAGGAGTAGTTGTTAAGACTCTTCGATGTGTACGATACCCATTTGCGAATGAATTGGACCGTGAGCTCAACGTTCCGGCCCCCTCCACGTCGAAATTTTTGAAACTTATAAAGGAGGGCGAGGTATCGATTTAGCTGCATTAATTGAAATGGTTGAAGGGAGGAATTGCAAATAAAGAGGCGTAGCCTCCTTGGTAGTGAGCGTGGACGGCAGAGTTGCCAAAGAATCTTAGTGACCCGACACTTTGTGTAGACATGATGGGTGTAATAGCGACCCCAGACATAACGACCACAGAATTCACATTCACGGTCAGAATGATGCGTAAAATGACCCAAATTGAGTCGGTGAACAGCGTCCATACCATCTGGGTAGCAACGTTTGCCATGAGCCAAGATCTTAAAAAATTTTACCCAATCAGCGGGATCCAAATCATAAAGATTAGACCAACCCTCCGGGATAACACATGGCTTTGCTTCAATATTAAATTTCTTTGAACGACTATTGAAAAAGTCCCCCGGTAAATCTGCGAATAGTGGTGGGAGAATAGTAGAAGGGGGTGACCCGAAGAAGTCCCTATATTCATCATGTGAAAAATGACTCGGCTGTGCCGTATATGTTTTGCGAAGTGAACCAATTAAATCAAACCATGCTTCCAAATACACCTTCTCGGTGTTCGTAAAAATATCACTTTGATCAACCATAGTAGAAATATCCCTACCCTGATAATTTAGAGTCAACCCAGTGAGGAACTTGTACCAAGGGATTGCTAGAATAGAGTCTGTAGAAGCTTGATAGGAGTCAGCCAGCTTATTCACAAATTCCTGGAGCTTATACCTAAAGATGTTAAAATTCCAATCAGTAACATTGGTAAGGGTATGCCAAACATATTGAGCACGGCGACCCGAAAGCTGCTTGCCCAAATTAAGGAGGCCAAAACCCCCTTGCACATTTAGTGATGTTACAATATCCTCTCCAATGCCTTTGAAAAACAGCAGTTTGATTTTAGAAGTTAAGTATTTGACATCCGACTTAGTCATCGCCTGATGAAGATCTCTAAAATATAATTTTGAAAAAATATAGGTATTAAAACCGG